CGTGTGTTGTTGTATCAGCGTATCTCATCGTGCATTCTCCAGTCTTCCAAGGATGCTATTTATAGCTGGATTGGATAATCTATCCGTTGAATTATAATGGACTATCCGTTGCATTTGCTGGCTTCAATTTTGAATGAAGATTGTGATTTGAAGATTCTTCGTTGAAGTGGGTGTTTGGACTTACCCAATTGTTGAGAAATGATTCCTTTTTCCACAAAATCCGTCTTCTAGCTTTTGTTCAAGAATTCAAGACTGTAGCACTTTACTATGTTTGTCTTCTAGTGCTTGTTTAGGAATTCCGGGCAGGCTTTTTAATTTTAGAGACCCAGACTTTGTCTTCAAGTAATTTGTTCTTGAATCAGCCTAATTATCTTCAATCTAGCCGATGAAAATCAAGAGATTGATTTTTCCTTGCCACGGGTAGAATTTCTTCATTCAGGACTTAGATGATTTTCTAAGCCTTTTCTCACTTGTCCGCTTTCTGAGACTTCATGTCTTCAGTGAGTCTTCCGATTCTTAGCTGACAAATCCGGATGAGTCATTTTCAGACTTCCGGGTGAGAAGGAGATCCGCGCTAGTCTTCCGATTTGAATGACTTAGCCTTCAGCGGGTTGTAGCGAGACATCCGGTTCTTATGTAGTCTTCCGGATCTGAGGATTTTTATCTGATTGAGAAATCCTTACTTGTCTCTGACTTTTCCGATTAAGATATCCAATTTTCATATCACTGAATTTGATCAAGTCTTCAGGCATCAAAACACTTAAAGAAATATCACAGTTTTATTGGAAAACTCAAGAACTTAGTTTTAACAATATTTCTAAAAAGAAAAATTACATTGAATATTGGGGGAGACCTAAAGTCCTTATTACATTCTAAATAAATCATCATCAAAATCTATAATATTTTTCCCAACATCGTCCATCTACAAATTGCTATTTTAAGAAAAGGACCCAACATCCGAAGGCTGCAAGGCAAGAACATGAAAGTCATAATTGGTTTCACTCCTTTCGAATTCAATCCAAGGTTTTTAATCTTTTTCACTCTTTCTATAACCAAAATTTTTGTACTAGTGAAGTTGGGAGGAGGAATTACAATATCTGGTTTGATTTTATAGGGTTGGAATGGATTCTTGAGATTTTCCCAAATTAAATCAAAGAAATGCTTGGGCTATTACTCGGTTTGAAAAGAAGCGAAAAATTTCCATCTCATATGAGTCAAATATGTGGGGAAGTTTTATCAGAATGTTTGAGTCTAGGGTAGAAGGGAGCACTTCTATTTTTATCCCAGTGGATAGAGGAGGTTCGAATGGTTTCTATAAAGCTATTGATGCCTTCTTTGGGAAGACTAAGGCCCCCATTATTACGGATTCCCTATCCAGTGCACACAAACTAACAGTGGTACATGAGCTTAATGTTCGTGGCTCTTCAAACAGCTCTAGTTTTGCAGAGCCTTCAAATTTGGATACCAAAGCTACCTTTGGAACTCAACAAAATGTTGAGTTACCCGAAGACAAAGCTCCTGCTAGGACTGGTTTTAGTCAAGGGGCAGGGTGAAAAGAACAGCCAGTGGGCTCACAGACTACTATGGAGATTTCAGTTTCTCAAAGCAATGAAGAACATGGGATAAAGAATGTAGATCTACTCCATAACGACTCGGTTCCAAGTGTTAAGGATATTGAACATCATGCCACTCTTGGGGGGTTGAACTCGGAAGAAGAGTCCATCAAAGCATGTCTCGTGAACTATGAAGAGCAAATGATTATCGAAGGGTTGTTTAAGGAAACACCAAAAGTGGAAGTTTCAAGAACGGATGATCCTATTCAATTTGAACTTAAGCTAATGATCATCGATGATAATGTGGAAGAACCAACAAGCGGATCGGAGATCTCCAAAAGGAGTTTGAGATTCTTAAGCCCATATTTGAGCAACATATTAGCGATGACTTTGAGCAATCTCTATGGATGATTAAGAAATCATTGCGTTCGCCTTTCATCAAGGAAAAAATTCAGAAGGGTCTTGTTCAAACTCTTCAAGGCAAGGCAATAAAAGCTACAAGGGACGCTATGAAGAGCGCACAATGCATTAGGGTAATCAAGATAAAAGGTACGCGACATTCAGTCCTACTATCATGTGAAACGATTGACGAACCTATCATTACGTCTTTGTGTGAACATCTCATCGACTATGAATGAAGCGGAGGAGTTTTGGGGACTTTTAAACTGTTGTTTACTACGAGTAGATGATGGACACCTTGAGACCCTACTGGTTCTCTTGTTTCTGGGCAGTAGTTAATTAGATTTTAAGAGATGCAACTCTATACGAATCTCTGTTGCCCTATATTGCCATGAGCTCATTGACCTGCAAGGATTTGGGAGCAGTGGCATGAGGACTCACAGGTTTACCTCCCTTTTTGATGATGATTTATGGCCATGTTTATGTCTGCTGCTTAACTGCTTACTTTAAAAATCTTCTGATGGTCCACTACTACTTGGAACAAGACATAGAACATCCATCCATATGCAAAAAATGGATTCCCTGCAGCAGCTCTAATGAGTGATGGCAGACACAAGATAAGAGCATTTTTCTCCAGTCATATGGTAACAACAACGGACTAAACAAAGCATTGGGACCTATTTTAGTTGTTGCAATTTGTTGGTCAATTTTCAATCTTTGGACTATTTGATTAATCAGGCCTTGTAGGGGTCCAACCAACCCTCTCCTTTATATATATATATATATATATATATATATATATATATATATATATATATATATATATATATATATATTATTAAAGGATTATTTTTATTCAAAGAGAAAGAAAGAAAAAAAGAAAGTACAAAGAAGGGGGGTTGGCCGGACCCCTACAAGGCCTAAATACTCACATCAACTAGGAAATAAAAGTGCCAAAACAACAAACAAAACTACAAGAATAATAAGGAAACTGGACAGAAGTGGGGTTCACCAGTCTTGCCACTTTTCTGTTGTACTTGTCCATATCCTTTGAGGGGAATCCCATATGCAACAATTGAGGTAATTACTTCCCATGACTTAATGTTGATGTGTGCAGTACATGGAGTGTAGAAAGAAAGTCACAAAATCTGCAGATTGAGTCATGCTACTGCCCAGGGCCTTGAGAGACTTATATGCACATATGCTCTAAGGTGCCCAGTAAACTGATAACCTGATTTGTATGAAAGGCCTAGATAAAATGCTTAGTTAACAAATGTAAAGGAGATGCTCTTGAATTGGCACAAGGTGCCACTAAATGCTAAACCTTGAATAGTTGAATTCACTATCAGCCTCTGTGGGAAAGAAAATCATAAACAATTGTAAAAGAGAAATCAGATTAAGAATCTCAAAAAAGCATGCTTTTTTCATGAGTAAGCTTTGCTCTTAGATCCGAGAGCCTCTTACTTCTACGAGGACGAGAAGAATCATGTAGCTTATGGCAAAGTTTTTCGAAATTCCTTTGGTTTCTTTTCTTGATTGCTTCTTTGTTCTCATGCCACTTTTCCTCCTCTTCAGAACCTCTATCCGTGATCCAATCCTCCTCTGATTCCTCTGATGGTGTAAGAAGGGGATTACCCAAGGGTTGGATCTCATGATCGGAGTTGTAGTTTACATTCCAATGTGGGCTTTCTAGCTCATTGTCTGAATTGGAACAACCAAGGAAGTGGGGAGCCACTGTAGGGGTATCAAGGTGTGTGTGTAGGGGAATAAAAGCTGCGGCTAATGCGGAAAGAGGTGACGTTTGGGCTGGGATGGTCAAGTGGGTAGAGGGGGATTTTGAAACAGCAGGTGCTAAGTGAGAAGACACTGGTGTAAGCTTCGAAGGTGTTAAAGGCTTAAAGGCTTCAATTGGGTTGTAGAGGGTATCTAACGGAATCTCCAAGCTGAGAAGGCTTTGAGAAATAGAAGGAGCTTGGGATTGTGAGGGCAGTGATTTTTGAGAGCAGATAATGGCCATATCTGTGAAAGGTTGGGGCAGGGGGGTGGAAGATTTAAGAATGTCATAGGCTCTTTTGAAGCAGTGGGTGAAAGAGTTGATTCCGTTGCCTTGGTTGCCTTCGGGGATGAAGATCCAGGTCCTGCCATCTCTATGATGCTCACATAGCTTAATGAAGTTCCTGGTTCTATGAGAATGGAAACTAAAAGAAATGGATCTACTCTGTTCCCTCTTAGCCACTGAATTTAAAGATCCTTGGGTAAATTGATTTAGGGATTCTAGTAGCCAGGAGCAGAGATCTAAGCCCAACCAGATATTGAATCGTTTCTTCCCATGAAATTCAGTAATGCATAGTTTCTTGTTGAATCTCGAGAGAGACAAAGAGAAAATCTTACCTTCGATTCTGAACTTCAAAGGATCTGCAGGTGTATCTCTCTCTTGCATCTCTGATAAGGGATTTTGAATTCCCAGGTCCACAATGACCGGCGTAGGGTGGAGGTGGAGAATTCCATCAGATTCTGATCTGACTTCATGGATGATTGACCGGGGTAGGGTTGCGACTCCGTTGAGAGCGTGCTTAGCGGAAGACGAAGAGGGGTGATCAGGGCTAGGACCTTGTAGCTTCTTTCTGAATGGCGGTGCTGAGAAATGTCCTGGGTACAAGATCGTCGCTGGTGGAGGAGCTCTCCAACCTCTCTCTAAAACCATTTTTTATATTATATATATATATATATATATATATATATATTTGGCCCGGAAAAAAAACCACCAAAATCAGTGGGGTAAGGTCCGAGCTGCCTTACCAAATTTATTAAACAAGATTCGAACACGTTCGGGGAGAACTAGACCGAAGCCCCAAAAGTAAAAGACAAATAGAAGAAATACGAGCCTAGTCGACTACCTCTAACTCTGAAGCAGCTTCGTAATTTGATCTGCAGCGCAACGTCCATGGCGTTCATTTGTCCTTGGAGAGGTAAGGTTTGAGATTTAGAGCTTCAATTTCCTCCTTGCTTGCAATCTTCTGTACTTTCTTGTTGGACCATACCCAATGTTGAATCATTTTCTGGATTTCAATGGTTATCCCAATCCTCGATTCCATTGTGTCTTCATAGATGCTTCTGTTATATGCTTTCCAAAGATTCCAAATGATACAGCCAGGTAGAACTAACCTTAATAATCCTCTTAGAGATGTTTTGCTATGTGACAGCCACCACTCCAACATGTATTCCCTAAGATCCATCGCATTAGTCCTGGTTGGCCCCGTAGTATAATCTGCAAAGTCTTTCCAGATACTCCTTGATAAATCACAGGTAAGCAAAATGTGAGAAT